GCCACCATGAAGAAGGAGGTGTGCTCCGTGGCCTTCGTCAAGGCTGTGTTCACCGAGTTCCTGGCCACCCTCATCTTCGTCTTCTTCGGCCTCGGCTCGGCCCTTCAGTGGCCGTCGGCGCTGCCCTCCATCCTCCAGATCTCGCTGGCCTTCGGCCTGGCCATCGGCACCCTGGCCCAGGCCCTGGGGCCCGTGAGCGGCGGCCACATCAACCCTGCCATCACGCTGGCCCTCCTCGTGGGCAACCAGATCTCCCTGCTGCGGGCTGTCTTCTACGTGGTGGCCCAGCTGGTGGGCGCCATCGCCGGGGCGGGCATCCTCTACGGGCTGGCACCTCTCAACGCGAGGGGCAATCTGGCCGTTAATGCGGTGAGTGTCCGGGGACTGGGGGTGGAGCGGGACCGGCCTAGGCCCCGGACTCCAGCTCCAGAATGAATGCACCGTGTGGGCCAGAGCACACCCGGGCCAGCATGAGGAATACCCAGGCGGGGGTGTGCCTGCTCAGCCTTCCCGGTTTTTACCTTCCTCCTCTGCCGCCCCCTCTTGCTGCCCCTTGCTGGCCTCTCTCCTGGTGCCTACTGCCCCTCCTTTCTTGTCGGAAACTCCTGCTTTTCTCCTGCCTCCCCCTGAGCTCTGCCCTCCTCCTGCGCCCTCCAGCTCCTGTTGGTTCCTCGGTTCCTCGGTTCCTCGGTGGAGTGGTTTCATGGAACCATCAGAGAGAGGGGTTGCAATCTTGGCTTCTGCTGACCCTGGCCGCTCGGGGTCTCGTTTTTCTCAGCCATTGCAGGGGATGGCGGTCGCCTACCACAGCAGGTGTCAAGGGTTCCCGTTTAGAGACCATGCATGTGAACCCCTAATTCTGCTCTAATGTGAGGGTCTCTGTTGCATATTGGTTCCTGTGCCTGGCCCCCGGCTGCCTCCCCGTCCCCGAAGGCCCAGATTTAGCCCCCATGTCCCATGCAAACTGGGTTCATTAGTCAAACACAGAGGAGGATTTTCTCGGCCATTGTCAAGCCGTGAGTCAGCCGCACTGGAGAGACGGGTTTGAGGTTGGCCCTGGCAGTGGATCAGGCACGGGCGGGAGGTGGGCTGGGGGTGCAGTAGACAAACTGGGCAGCTGCCCACAGGAGGGAGGGTAAATGCCAGCCTGTGGGGGTTGGGACTGGGCAGAACCGTTGACAGGGCTGTGTCGAGTAGAAGCTCCCCTCATACCACCCTTCGGCCATAGGCCTGCGCCTCAGGCTTTGTACGTACTGTGAAGTATGTAGTCTCTTTGGCAGATGGCCTCCCTGACTTGACGTGCACTGGGCTGTAGGTGTCCTTGGAGGCCCTAAACCCATTTCCCCAAGCCCCTGGCCATAGAGCCAGAAGGCGATCCTAACCCACCCTCCCCCTGCAGCTCAACAACAACACGACGCCCGGCCAGGCCATGGTGGTGGAGCTGATTCTGACCTTCCAGCTGGCGCTCTGCATCTTCTCCTCCACCGACTCCCGCCGCACCAGCCCTGTGGGCTCCCCAGCCCTGTCCATTGGCCTGTCCGTCACACTGGGCCACCTTGTGGGGGTGAGCAGAGCTACCATGTGGATGGGGTTGTGGGGAGCCCCTCGGGGCAAATAATGGGGCCCTAGAGCAGTACCTCTCTGGACCACTGAGCCCTGCAGTTGGGCCTTGGGTGGGGCTGTTGTACCCTGTCCCAGACTGGAGCCCCCAAACCTTCTCTGGGCTGAGGGGAGATGGGAATAAGTGGGAGTTGAAGTGGGGGCAGGGAACCAAGCCCAAGCTCAGGACAGAGAAGAGAGGAGTGTGCACAGGGACCTGTGAGGGAGAGGTCACCAGCCTACGAACTGGAGATCTTGAGTTGGAGATCTGGCCGAGCCCCTGGACTGCTGGGTGACCCTGGGAGCGTTGGGGCTCTGTGGGAGCAGACATGCCCTTCGTCCTCCTCACCACCTCCCTCTCTGTGTCCAGATCTATTTCACCGGCTGCTCCATGAACCCAGCCCGCTCTTTCGGCCCCGCAGTGGTCATGAAGCGGTTCAGCTCTGCACACTGGGTGAGTCTGGGCGTCCCCTGATCCCTGGCAGTGAGGGCTGGGACACCAGCTGCGGCTTCTGGCCTTGGGGGTGGGCCTGGGGAGCAGTGGCTGGAGCGAGGAGGGGACACCGTAGGGAACAGGATGCAGCCAGATCACCCTCAGGGGTAGATTTATATGGACAAGGAGACCCTTGTTGGGGGTGAGGGGTGGGGGGACTATGTGTGTCTGTTCCTCTAGGTAAGTGAGGGGATCCCCACCTCCAGGTTGATCTCTGAGGATTTTGTCTGTGTCTCTGGGAGTCTGTGTGTCTGTCTTCCCTGATGTTTACTTACCTGTCCCTGTTGAGGGGTTGGGCAGTCTTCCTTCCCGTGGGTCTGTCTCTATGGACAATCTGAAACCTCCCCTGAGAGCTCATGGTCTCCCTCCGGAGTCTGTCCCTGTCCCCATGCGGGAGGGAGAGGAGTTCTGTCCGTCTTTCTGAGGATCGATATGTCTGTTCCCTCTGAAGGCTCATCTGTCTCTTTAGAGACAGGAGCCCTGGCCTTCTGGGGATCTGGTCTGCCTCCTTTGAGGATGTGGGTGTCTGTGATCTCATCTCCCTGAGACGGGGAGAAAGTCTTTCTTTCTGGGGGTCTGGGAGTCCATTTGTCTGTCTCTTCTGAGGGTCCATGAGTCTGTCCTCTGGAGGCGGGGAGTGGGGGTCTCTGAGGCCTGGGGCTCAGCCCGCTGATGCCGTCTTGTCTCCCTCAGGTATTCTGGGTGGGGCCCATCGTGGGGGCTGCCCTGGCCGCCATCCTCTACTTCTACCTGCTCTTCCCCAACTCCCTGAGCCTGAGTGAGCGTGTGGCCGTCGTCAAGGGCACGTATGAGCCTGAGGAGGACTGGGAGGAGCAGCGGGAGGAGCGGAAGAAGACCATGGAGCTGACCGCCCACTGACCAGCGTCAGACAGGGGCTAGCCTCTCACCCCTGAATTGCAGGGGAAACCCTCCCCGCCCCCCCCCCAAAACCCCCATGAGAGCAAAGCTTCCTTCCCCCACAGCGGGTCCTCTGGGCTAGGGAGGAGGGACTCGCTCCCCAGGCTGCAGTTAGAAATGGGAGCAGGAACCCATGATGGACTCCTGGGGTGGGGCCCCGGGACTGCGGTCCGATGGGGTGAGGGTCTCTCTGAGACGGGGCAGGCTGCTGCCATGAGGTCAGACCTCAAAGATTGTGAACACGGCACTGAGCTCACAGGCCGCCCCAGGGGCAGGGCAGTAAGGAGTGGCCTGGGTTCTTCCTCCCCACCCTCCCGGCCCCTCCTCAAGAGCCAGTGGATCCCAGCCCCGAGGATGGCAGAGGCTGACCCTCCCCAGAGCTCCTTCGGAGGGCGAGAGACTGGCTCACTAAATGCTGCCTTATTTATTTCTGCTTCTAGGTGCATGGGCTAGGGCTGCTGGGGTGGGGGCTCCCCAATAAACCGCTGACATCCATGTTCTGCCTCGTCTCTCCCCAAAAGCCTCTCCTTGGGACTCTGGCTCATCACTGCTCCTCTTCACCATCCCACACCTTCCCATGGGCTCCACAGGCCTCTGTGGAAAGACAGCGAAGCTGAGCCAGCGGGGCCTAGAGTCAGAGATGGGGGTGGGAAGAGCAAGAGAGGGGGAGGGGAGAGGGAGAGAGACCAAATATAAAAAGCGAGCTAGAGGTCAGGAGGAGGCAGTGGGAGCAGAGAAGGAGGCATCCTCTTCACTCAACCTCCCGCCTACACACCCCTCCCACCTCAGCTATGTCAAGTCCCTGCCCCTTGAGGAGGGTGTGCCAGGCAGGGTGGGAGAGAAATGAGCCAGCCTGCAGCCCCTTGAGATGCCAAGGAGATGACCAGCCAGGTCTGTCATCAGGGAGGAGGCACAGCCTGGACTCCCCTCTCTGCCCCTCCGTGTTCTAAAAAGGAGCCATGTTGGGAGCCTGTGCCCAGAGACAGCAGCCCTGCCCCACCACACACACACACACACACACACACACACACACACACACACGCTGCACTGGCCCAGCTCCTTTCTGGTCTCCCCTTCCCTGCCACTGCCAGCCAGTATCCCCACCATCTTCCTCGCTGGGCCCACTGCTCTGCCCTCACTGGCTCTTGTCCCTTGCCACTGACACCCCTTAGGGAACCCCCTTAACCGGCCACGCCTCCATCTGTTAGGCTATAAAATGAGGATTAAAACTGCTTCCCTCACAGGTTGCTGTGGGGATCAGATGAGATGAAGGAATGAGGTTCCTAGGACCGCTGCTCGCTGTGGGAAAGGGTGGGATGCAGATGAGCAGCTCAGGACACGGCCCTGCATCAGAGTTAACGCGTCTGCGTGGGGTCCAAGTCTTGACGCCTAACTGGGTAACATAAACCCTCCGAGTTTCAATTACCTCCTCCGTAAAATGGGGCTACTTGTACTCATGGGTGGTTGTGAGGATAAAATGAGACAATGGATGGAAATAAAACCCCTGTGCAAACAGGACCAGACACTTCAGGGTGAGTGCTCGATAAACAAGTGTGAAGAGAACGCAGCAGGTACACATCTGGGACCCTGGCCACCCCCAGGTCCGGCCTCTGCTCTCCTGGGAGGTTTGAACCTGAACTCCAGCTTTTCCCTTGTGTGGGAACCTTGCTCCACAGTCTTCAGCTTTGCCTCGGAAGACAAGGGGCCAGTAGGGGTAGGAGATGGGCGGGGAAGAGGAGGGAGAGTCTACAGACCCTGCTGGCAAGGGTCAGTCCCAGGGGTTGGGGGCGAGGGCGGCAGAGTCCCCAGTCCTCCTCCACACTGGAGCCTAGTATCTGTGAGTGGGAGCTGCAGCCGCCCTGCCCTGCCCGCCTCATCAGCGTGCAGTTAACACCAAAAGGCAGTTATGCGTGTGAGAACCTGTGCAAAGGGGCAGCCCCCGACTCGCCAGCTCCGGCCTCCACCCTGTCCCGCCGTAAATGCCAGCTCCGACCAGCAGAGGGGGACCTCGTCCACCGAATGCACAACTGCTGCGCTTCTCGTCCGCGATTTCTGGGTCTGGGCTCCAGACGTGGGGGATGGAGGACACGGGGAGTCTCTCAGGCCTGGGTCCCCGGGGGCCACCAGGAAGTAGCTACTCTCAGTCCACCCCCCCTCCACCATCCGAGATGGGATGCAGAAGAGAGGGAGTCCTTTCCCATTCAGGCTCCAGAAGACTCAGGTGCCTGGGAGGCTGGCCTCTCCCCAGCCCAGCAACTTGCGTTCCTTTCTCTGACAGGTGGGCCTGTGGGAGACAGACCCTCAGGGCGGGGCGAGGCACCCAGTCCGAGGGAATTCCCGGCCCCCCGGAGGGAGAGGGTCCACCCTAGGCCTAGGGCTTTGGACGGACAAGTTGCGCAGTCGGGTTTGTGGCCAGCAGAGGGCGCTGTGCTCCGTGGTGGCTGATCCTCCACGTGCCCCTAGGTCCCGGCTCACAAAGACCTGCAGGAGCGGGCACACACCCAGACCAGCGCCTCCACGCTGACCTTCAGCTGTGCCGAGGGGCTGCGTCTTCTCGGCATGGGCTGCTCACTCCGTGCAGGTGACAGCCTCGCCAGTCCTCCTCCACTCGTGTTCTGGCTCCATGTGTTCCCCGAGAGGCCCACGTGTGTCACACCCAAGCACACATGCTCAGTCACCCCTGTGACCCTCTGCTCCACCTGAAGATGGGACCCAGGAAGAGCCTTGATTCTCCTCTAGGAGGCGTCCTACCCCTCCACTCCCCCTCTGCCCAGGGCTGCCAGGTCTAACCAGGTGGAAAGGTAGGCATGGTGAAGAGACGGAGGACTGGGGTGAAGGAGGAATGGACAGAAGGTTGGCTGTCTAGATGGATGGACAGGCGGGTTGGCTGGAGGGTCAACTCTCTAGCCCCTCTCTGATCTCAGTTTCCTCCCCTGTCTGGTGCAGATGAGATCAGACTTCCTTACCTGACACATTTTGTGGGGATTGGGGAGATGATGTGAGGGAAGCTGTCTTGACTTCTTCCCTTTCTGTCACGTGTTTAATGCCCCTCCTCTTCTCTCCTGATACCTTCATCCTTCTTGCTGCCCCATCTCCCCCCAAACCTGGTCCTCAGTCAGAGCTCACATTTCCCTCATGCATGTGCACGCACACACACACACACCCTCTCAGAGATCTGGGGAGCCCAGAGACAGGCCTCTGGGAGGTTAAGAGCACACAGCCACCTGACAGGCAGCTGTAGGCAGCCAGGTGTGGGGCCTTGGCAAAAAGCCTCTGAGCATGAGTGACCTCAAAGCGTGGCGCTAGAGCCCAAGACTGGCTGGGCCTGGGCCTGGCAAGGTGCTGGCTGGAACTGGAGCAAGCCCTGGCCAATGCCTGGCTGGCCTCGGGGGATGAAGGACCTTGTCCCAGGCCGGGCAGGGCCCCGGAGGCTCTGTTCTGGGCCAGCCAGAAACAAAGGCTGCCACTGCTCTTAATGCCCAGCCTCCGGGGCCCAGAGCAGGGGCCACCAGTGCTGCTTGTCCTGGAGCTGCCACAGCAACCAGGACCCTTCCCACCCAGCCCAGAGACAGCTGTCTCACTGGAGAGGGGCGTGGCAGTTCTAATCAACATTTTCCCGCTGAGAAACACCCTCCTAGGAATTAGCACATTGACTCCTAATGACACGTGGGGAGGTGGGAATTTTAATCTCCATTCTATAAGGGAGGAAACTGAAGTCACAGAAGTTAGGCACTGGTCAGGTGTGCAGTGCATGGCAATGTCCAAATGCTTTCCCTTGTATTCTCTTATCACAGGTCTCAGTAGATAGGCTAGCCCAGCCCTGGGCAAACTACGGCCTGCGGGCCGGATCCGGCCCGTTTGAAATGAATAAAACTAAAAAAAAAAAAAGACCGTACCCTTTTATGTAATGATGTTTACTTTGAATTTATATTAGTTCACACAAACACTCCATCCATGCTTTTGTTCCGCCCCTCCGGTCCAGTTTAAGAACCCATTGTGGCCCTCGAGTCAAAAAGTTTGCCCAGCCCTGGGCTGGCCCGTGGTTTGGTGCCTGGTGCACAGGCACAGAAACTGAGGCTCGGAAAGATGGAGGGCTGGCCAGTGTCTGTCCCCCGGGAGGGAAGAAGAGAGATGCCCTTGAGGTTCTTTGGGACAGCCTCCCGGCAGAGGACCCACCGAGGCACGGAGGAATGTCACTCACACTGCCCAGGCCTCCATTCCTTGAGTAAGTATTGAAAGAATCCTCTAAGCCAGGAAAGCACAGGAGTCTGTGCTGGAACAGTGGAGGCAGTGAGGCTGCCAAGGCCAGAAGTAGCTACTAGTACTGGCTTTGCTCAAGCCCAACTTCTCCATGCAGCTTGCCCTGCCTCTGCTGGAAAGGAAAATCGGGGCAGACTTCATGGAGGAATCAGACTTGAACAAAGTCTTTGAAAAAGAGACAAAGAGGAAAGGCATTCCAAAGTCATGGTCTCTCCACTATGTGGAGATTACCAGGCAGGTGATAAAGAAGCCAGGAGAGGGAGAAGTGCAAACCACAGATGAGACTGGGCACGGCCGAGAGACGGGTGGGGCCCCTGATTCAACACGAGAGAAGGGTTGCCTCTGCTCCGGGGGCACAGGGAAGCCGGTGAGGGTATGGCAGCCACCAGCGAGTTTGTGGCTGGAAGGGTGGGAGGAAGCATTGCCTGCTAGCTTGGCTTTCTGGGTGGGCAGGAGGCAAGTTTATCGGCTAGAAGAGTCGGGTACCTGAACAGAGTGGGGAAAGTTGAAGGAGGCCTTAGAAGAATGGGGAGACAGCCGCCCAGGGGTGGTGTAAGGATTGCGGAATAGAGCAGCGACCCCTGCTGAGGCCAGAGACCATGGACTTGTCATGGCAGCGGTCTGCATGGCTGGGCGAGTGTCTCCAGCAGTGCTCAGCAGTGCAGATGGTAGGCAGAGGGTGTGAGCAGAATGAGAATGGAGAGATGCAGGTGTGTGGTGGGGTAGGGAGAAAAGAGAGCCAGGACAGGGGGGCACTAAAGTGAGATGCCAGGGCATCTGGCTGGAGAAAGTAGGGTCAAGCCAGGATGGCTGGGAGAACAGAAAGAGGGGGGGCGGTTACTGTGACTGAGATGGGGGAAGGTGGGTGGCCAGAGCCTGTGGTCAGAGCTGGGATGTTTCACTGGAAGATTTCAGAGGGCCCGGTCCCAGGTGAGAGTAGGTATAGGACTAAGAATAGGCAGCTGAAAGGAAGCAGATATGAAAGTCACCTGCCTCCAGGAGGTCAAGAAGCCGGTGAAGCCCTAGCTGGTTTGGCTCAGTGGATAGAGCTTTGGTCTTTGGACTGAAGGGTCCCAGGTTTGATTTTGGTCAAGGGCACATGCCCAGGTTGCTGGCTCGATCCGCCATGGGCAGGAGGCAGTCATCATTGATGTTTCTATCTCTCCCTCCCTCTCCCTTTCTCTCTGAAATCAATAAAATCATATTTAAAAGAAAAGAAAAGAAAAAGCTGGTGAAGCATAGCCAACCCAGCATCGGGGCCACCCACTCCTCCTACTTCTTCACCCCCGCTCAAACAGCCAATAAAAGCACAGTCTTACAAGAAGCAGAAGAAGGGAAGCTTTTATTCACTCATTCATTCGACAGTTATTTATTGAACACCTACTATGATCAATCCCTGTGCAAGATACTGCATGTAGGGATGAGCAAAACTTGGCTCCTGCCTCCTCAGGGGCTCACCGCCTCACTGGGGAGACCCATTAACACCATGGCAACACCCTATGATGACTGTAGTGCACAAAAATGTCCAGGTGTGGTGGGAACACACAGAGGGACTCGCCTAAGAAAGGAGCAGGTGACATTGAAGCTGAGCCATAGGGATGGTATAGGGGTTACCCAAGCAGGGAGGGGAAGGGCTCCCCAAGAAGAAGAGAGAGCATCTTCCAAGGAGAGACCAGCTCTGAGCGTTGCAGAACCACTGGCCATTTGATGAGGCCAGAGGGTAAAGTGCGAGGCAAGGAGTGGAGAGAGGTGAGGTAGGAGGAGCAGGAGCCATGGAGGCCATGCACGTAAGTGCATGCATGGAGCTCACAGAGGGGGTGAAAGCTTTGAAGGGATTTCAGCAGAGGAGCAGCAGGATCAGATTTGCATTTTAGAAAGATCACTCGGGCTGCAGTGTGGATAATTGATTGGAGCAGAGCAAGGGAGCAGACAGAACGGTTAAAGGCTGCAGGGCAGCAGGGGTGCAAGCAGAGAGCACAGTCAAGAAACATGTAGGGGCTCAAAAGCAGCAGGACTGAGGCCTTTAGTGGATGAGGCAGGAGGGGGAGAAGGGTCAGGATGCTTCCCTCATGCCTCCAACTGAGTGGGAGGAGACAGGAGGGGTGCGTTTGGGGGATGGGAGAGAGGAGAACCTCATTCTGAGAAAGGTTTCATTTGAGGGGCCTGAGGACAAGCAGGGGCATCTACTGGGCAGGTAGATGTGTCCAGGGGCGAGGTCCTGGCACCCAGAGGTGGTTAAGAGGTGAAGACAGGATTATTTTAGCAGCTCAGCAGATTCTTCTTAGGGAGGGATACCTCTGTTTAGGCAAACACCTCGAAATACTGCAAAGGATAGAAGGGCAGAGCCTAGGGCATGGGTGACTTAGGGCCGGCATAGCCACAGAAATGGCTCAGCTGTCCTGTGTGAGACATGAGAGGTATTGTTTTGTCCCCTGAGGAGAGCAGAGAAATGGGG